AGAAAATAAGCACTAATTAGGAAGGAATCTTTCTTCATTAATAAATATAACAAATAAATAGAACGTAATATTAAATCAATGATTCCATGATTATTAAAATAACAAATATAGTAACAAATAATTATAATAATCATATTCACAATTATCTTGAAGAAATAATAACCATAGTAAAATTATATTAATAATATTAAACTATGCTATATAAATATTCATTTTCCATTTTAAATTAATGTTTTTGTTAAGAATCTTGTAAATATAAACATATTCAAATGAAATTAAATTGAAAATTAAATGAAAATTAATATTTCATTATTTACGTTGTTGAAATTTAGTTATCAAAATTTCTTTCATTTTCAATCGTGTATAATATCAAAAATATTATTTCCTCGATATATATATATATATATTTATCGGAAAATATAACAGATTGATTAAAAATCCCGTTCATTTTATCGAAGTCTGGGACGCTCTATGCATAATATTACTTCATATAATTTTTATAAAGTAGCGTTTAACTTAACTAATTTATCTAACCGCAAAATTGCAGCATTCAGAGAGAAATTTATCGTATATATGCGTATGTGCATTATTTATGGTCAATATCTTATCGGAGATAACTATATGTGATTGTTATTTTCGATTTCCGAGTTTTTTCCCAAAGTCCGTTCATATTGCGAGATATCATATCAAACACACGTATAAGCTGTTTATTTCTGTTTTGCGATTACGAGTGTTTGTAAATCGGAATAGTCAATCTACTTGCTTAAAATCATTTCCATAAAATGTAACAACAAAAAAAGTATTTTTATACACACGTATCTTACTTACTATAATAATAATTTTATAATTATATAATTTAATGCTAAATTTGTTGCAGCACGAGATTACAAACGATAGAAATCGTAAAAAAGTATTAATTAAAAAATACTAACAAAATAACCGTTTAATTCTAAATTTAAAATTGCTTGCAATCCTTTGAATATTATCGCTTTTGTAAAATTTTCTATGGGACGTTTGTTTATAGAAAAAACGATTTTATTTGGATATAATATAATGGATACATAAATGTATGTACATCGATATAATTTTTTGCAAAATGTAGGATTATTTATACTCTAGTGTAAATAATGTAAGCGATTGTAATTCATTTAATAAATTATTCTTTAAATTTATATAATTAATTGATGTATTTAATATAATAAAGTAATATAAAATATTATTATTTTTCTTATTTAATAGATCAATTATTTATAGATCAATTTTAGCATATCTTATTTCTTCAAAATATAGTAATTATTAATGGTTAATAATTACTAATTATTAATTATTTAATTATTACTATTGATATAAATGTTTCATTCTAAACTGTTATTTTTAAATATGAAAATATTCAATAAACGATACGATTCGATAAACGTAGGTAATACATATTCGCAAATATAATGAAAAGACAATATCAAACACGACTTTGAATCATATTTCTAATTACTCGTAGCAAACGTCTCAAAAATTATATAATTTAACGTAAAATATAAATGAGAAGAAGTACCGCTGACTTTGCTGCGATTCAAATTATCAGTTAAGTACGCAGACGGGCGAGCCGAATAATGAGTGTATTTAGTTGTGCAAATCACTGTTTAACAATGCCGGCTTTTATAAAATTAATGCCCCTCGCCGTAACTATGTCGATTACTGCAGACATCGCGCGCGGCCTCCGGAAAGTGGCTAACGCAGAGCGTAATTTTGAAAATTTTAACGGAACTACCTGCCATCGTCCTTACTTTGCACTTCCGCCGATCTTACCGTATAATTTTGCCGCCATTCCAACAACTCCGCGAAACGAGAGGACGTAGTAATTTTCTCGTCGAGCACTAGACGACGCAAAATTCGAAATATGCAGAATATTGTGAATTATAACTCTCGGAATCTTTTTATCTTTTATTACATGGAACCTCTTCACATTTAATATTAACATTTTTTAAATTTCTTATTAGTAATACACGAAGAATCCTGTAGGGCAGAAAACTCGTACATACAGATCATAAACATTGTATAAAAAAAAAAGAATTGAGCTTACTTAAAAAGAAAGTAAACAAAGTGATTTTTTTTTTTCATGTGATCACAGATTCCTCTTTTAATTAATGTTATTTATTATATTGAAAAATTATACTATATATATAGATTGTTATTTATTTACCAAAAGATAGTAGACTTGAAAAAAAAAAAAAAAGAAAAATGGATCCAGTTAGCATAATAGCCTACATCTACATAATTCAATGCTTCAAATATTTCTGGAACTGACACTGTTACACGAAAAGAATTTGAGAAAGATTTGCTGAAGTATCTAAAAATTTAATTGACTGTAAATCTGAAAATGATTTATTGTATCATTAAAATAATTATGCAGGACATTCAAGATGATTGCTAGAATGTCAAAATTTTTCGCAAGGTTGTTTGAGCGTCTATTACAATTCTTTTGATAGTCCAACAAAATTATTTTCTATATCTTGTTAAATTTTTAGATACTTTAGCAAAACTGTTCTTTTTGTGTAGCAATTGTAGCTTTCTCGTTCTAACTACCTCTTTTAATTCCTCTTAATTTTTCTATTTTCCGAGTGCTAACGTGAATATTAATGTAAGTAAGAAAAATAGTTTGACACGTTAGCGCAACGAGGATCCTTTTGGTGTCAGCAAAGTTGTAGTTGGAAGGATTCAATGTCGAATAAAAGTATCGATCCTTCCTCTTGACGAAGCCGTATCTCGTTCAAGGCATGTGATACCGAAATGCGGTTACCTCGCTGGTGGAATCGCGCGTTCTCGTGTAACAAGAGCGTGATAAAGTTTCGTTGAAATTACGCTGTTAGATACACGCCAGCTATCCGAATTTCTGGATTCCTGGACGCGACGTGTCCATCAATTTTGATTACTTATATGAATGGAAAACTTCTACTCCCATTGAATCGCGACATTGCAATTTGGTTTCTTCTCGTCAGGCGCGAAAGTAAATTCACAAATTCGAATTCTCATGCCGAATCCTGACTACATTAACTCTCTTTTTCAGCTACTCGTCATGTCTCGCGGGAAAATCGGTCGTAATCACGAGTTTCAATTCGACGCGTAATTTCCTATTCCCGACGAATGTAATTTCGAGGCTTTTAACCGTTTCCTAAGGCTGTTTCTTCTTGAATGTCGTGACGTGAAAGTGACGTTGTATCGAAGAGCGGTTTCAAATGTTCTTGTCGTTGACAGTTGCGTGACAGTTTCGCATTAATTCCCTAGAAGTTGACTCTAGAGTTGACTCGTGAAAATTCTTTCGATTTACATCAAATCCCTTACAGCGATAGAATCGCAACACGGAATTGACTGGCAACTTTCGCACCTGCTGCATTTTGATAATAGAATTAAATATTGAGAGAGGTTTCTTTACTTTATTTTTTGAATTCTTTATAGGGACGTTTATCTTTTGCTGAGATTTTATAGATACAAGTTATATATATTATTTTTTCTTTTGCACACTTTTTTGATAGTCCAATTGAAATAACAGTTTTCATAGATACGAGTAGTTTTCACAATAGAAATAAAAATACAGATTTTTGATATTTTGAACATCATTGTGTTACATGTGTATATGCTAAAAAATTAATTTAATTGTGAATGTATCAAGTTTATTATCGTTATTCAATTAAAGATGTATCAGGTGTACAGTCTCTGTAAAAAGTGGCTGAAATTGAAAATTTATACTTTGTGTACAAAATATTATATCTATTACATACACATGAAAAAGTTTAATAAAATCAATATTTAACGATGCAATTTTACAATATAAATAAAGATTTTCTTATTTTATCTTAATTATTTTTCAAAACATCTACTTTTTATTAAAACAGTTCTTAATTCAGATTTTAAATCGTTGCTAAACTCTTTGTATTATTTTTATCAATGTACTATAGAAAAATCTGTAATTTTTTCATTTCGTTAAAAAATATGTGTAATACGTTCTTAATAAAGAAATGTGTTGTAACAAATATATAAACTATTTCGTCTTTAAAAGATATTTTGAAATTAATAATCGGGATAATTTTTGCATTTTTTTTTGTGTTCTTCTACCAACCTGAACAACTCAAACGCACAATGCAATCAATAATCATACCAAATTATTGTATTACTTAATAGGGGGGATCCCGTTTGCCTACAAATCGATTGCCTACAGTATCGTTTGCCTATATCACTTTTGCCGACAGTTCGTTTGCACACAAAAATTATTGCCTACTGCTCAACCTTCCACACGAAATGAGGGTCATCTTACACCAAAGAATGGCGGTTAGATTTTTTTAGAAAAATATTCCAAGCGGACACTGTCTACGCTGACACCCCACCGTTCACATGACAGATTTCCTAAAATATAAATTATTTTCTTACTTAACTTCAATTTTATATTTGTGCGTAAAAGTGCTTGTAGGCAATCGAACTGTAGGCAAAAGCAATCATCTCTTACTCAATAGCGATAGCATTCCGAAGCATATCGTAAAACAATTTAATCCTTCTTGATTTATCAGTTTGATAAATCGAGCGGAAAGATCATATTTCCGCAATCGGCCATAGAGTTCCCTGTTTCCTTGTCATTTGCTACGTTTCATCTCGACTACGAGCGACCGCAACTCCGCAGGCAAATTCAGCGGCCGAGAGGCAGCGCGAGATGCTGAGTGCGGGATGGTTTTCGAATCTCCGATCGACCATGACCGTTTGTTTCGAGGATCCTTTCGCTGGTTCGATGCAGCGGTGGCGGCTGCACCGCACCGGTGAATTTCTCCGACCCGCCACGGCAGCAGCATTTCCTCCCACCCTGGGCAAAGTGCATTCAACAGGTATCTACACAACCGATGAGTTTGTGCTATGCTGCCCTGTCTTCTCTCTCTCTCTCTCTCTCTCTCTCTCCTCCCTTTCTCTCCTCCCTCTCTCTCTTTCTCTTGTTCCTCTTGTTCCCCTTCGGGGGTTCCGTGCTATCTGGCGGGCACACTGATCCGCACCCACCTGATCCCCCTAGCTCGTTGCATCAAGGACGCCTGCGTCGGTAACGTAGACGAGCTCCCGACCTAAAGCGGTTGGCTGCTTCTCGTCAGTACGCCGTCGACCGTCGAAGGTTGCTGGTCTCTGCTCCGGTGTTTTCGTTCGTTGAGACTCCGCTCGCGGAAATTCGTCGCTTAGACCGGTGTGACAGAGGAGTTTTTTTTTGTGTACGAAGTGACCGCGAGGATCGTTGGGTCGATCCTTGCTGCAGATCGGTGAGGTGTTCTATTCTGCAAGCGGAGGCTGCTTCCTCCTATTTAAGGACTGGTATCCGGACTTCGTCGCGCCGCGCCGGTAGGATCCTTTCCTGGGTGTTTCCTTCCTATTTTTACGACAGCGAGGAAATCTGTGTGTCGATCATCGAAAAACGATTGGCTGCCTTTTTTTAACGGGGATACCATTAATCGATGATTCGCTCGTAGCCGGTTCTCGTTCTTCTACTCCGAGAAAGTCGTGACGAGAACGGATTGGGCGGGGAATCCCGGTATCACACAGGATCGAGGATTCTGTCTGCCGAACGTGTATTCAGATGTAGCTGAGAGGTCGGAGTGTTCCTCTCGACATCTTAAAGGTTGGATCAGTGCGTTTTTGGAATTTGTGATCAGAATGAGCAAGGCGATTTTCAACGTGGCATCTGGCGACATTTCGGTAATGTTTTCTTGTTGAATATTCTAATGGAAAATGATAAATGACAGCCGATTATTAATTTATTTGACAGAAACTTTATCACTTATTTTTGTACCATCTAATTAGTACCGTGTCATCTTTGTAATTTAGAAATGAAATACTTTTATACATATGTATTAGCGATTGTGCTTTACGATACTAAAGTTAAATAACATTTCAAATATGAGTGAATTTTAAAATATCATAAAGATTCGAATTATTTTCCATGACACGAATAAGTAAGTAGTTCAATATGATTGTAACAATTAATTATATCTGTCTTGCTACAAAATATTCCTAATTATTGACTGCTTTGACTAGTTTTGAATTCTATGAATTTAAATGGAAAAATAATTGAGTATTCGATAATTTAATTTTGATTTAGCTATATTTATCTTGTTTAAAGCTCTGTTTGACAAGTTTAATCAATTAAATCTAGATCTCGAGCGTCGTGATAGAATCTTGGAAGATCTGTGAAAAAGAGCATTATTGTTTTATTGTATTAAAATTTATGTCATGTTTAGCAAAATTTAATATGCTAATTACGTGACAAGAGTGAAATGCAAGATTACGTTTATGACATAGCGTTCATCACTCAACGCAATGGTTTTGATTTAAAGGCAGCCAACGTGATTACAAACTGCAATAATAACAGAAGAGTTATCTCTCATATTGTTGTATGTATAACACATATTATTTCTGAAACAAAAAGCTCCTCTTTTATACATGACGTTTTTAATTATTTTGAACTGTATTACGGTTTCTATTTGACAATGAGAAACTTAACCAGATATAAAACTCAACTAGAATTCCATTAAAGTGATTGTAAAATCACAAAGTTCCTCTTAGCCCGTTTTTGGAGCAAATTTCCATCGTTTTCCAAACAAAAGTTGCACTTGTCTCTTAAATAGAAATTTCCATCATGGAAACGTGTTACATTATCTCACGTTTCATTATCGAGTTATGTAACAAAAGGAATGTAAAGATATGTGTAGCTTTCGAATTAAATATTCGTTAGAGAGATATAAAGCAATTTTCTCTGTCAACAATTTTTTCTAAAATATTTTTTAGTGCGTATTTCCTTCCTTATGAAGTTTGCACTTGTGTGCTGAATAGAAATATCCTTTTATAGAACACTTTTCTCAAGTTGCATTACCGGGTTGTTTAACAATAGAAATTTAAGTGCAGACGAGATAATTTTAGTTAAAGCGATTCACTTGAAATCGCTCGCTAAAACGGAGCACGTATGCGTCGTTTATTACAGAAATATACATTATTTGCTAACTAGAGATTTGTTTTCTTTCGTACAAACGTATGCTTTATCATTTCGAGCTTTATTGCCGAGTTATTTAATAAGGTAAATTTCAGAATAGAGATAAGGTGTTTGAATTAAACTTTCGTTCAAGCAATTCTCTTAAACGGAACGTCTCCGCTTCCATTTTTTAAATTTACGATGTGTGTCTCGATGAGAGCGAGCGCGTTTTCGAGTGCATACGGAAGTGATGCGATACTACTGAATTCAGCGATATTAGCATAACCATTCTCCATCACATTTGCTACGAGTAAATTTAACTTCGTAACGAGTTACGAGATACAGCGCGCGCTAGCCCGCCGATAAACGAGTTAAGCGAAGGGGAGTGGCAATAAAATTTTACACGAGATCACGTCTCGTGAAATGTTTGCACGAACTCATCACCGGGCATGTCGCGCGTTTGTAAAATTGTCGAGACATAAATAAATAAAGAGCTCTATCGCCAAACGTGGGGAAGCAAATCCGTGCCGGTAAATTCACTTTGATTCGCGTTCAAGCGCGCGGGGGATATGTTATTTCGATTGAAGTACGAAACACTATTGCTACTACAATCGCCATGGGAATCCTAGTGGACCGTACCAATTTACAAAATTTCGCCGAGCTTTGTCCAGTCAGTTTCAATCTACGTAGGTATCAAATTACGAGCGTAATAGAGCAACGGGAGACTGCAAAAGTATATTAAATATGCAAGCTGAATATCAGTTTAATGGTTTTCAGACTGGTATTGAGAAGTAATCGCGAAATGAAGTTAAGCTAATTGAACCGATGTTAAATATTGAATTAAAGGAAGCGTTAGCTCTTCGCTAGTAAGCGTCATAATTTGCGTCGTAATTCTTTTCAAGCTGATTAGTTGTAAAATCCCATCAAGTCTTACGCAAGTAATAAAAATGCAAAGTGCTATAAATGATGATTAAAAATTTTTCCTTTTCCCTTTTGACGAATTTATTTTTCTACATTTATCTAAAAACGAAAATCGATAATGAACACTTTATATGAGCATATAAAAATGTTCTTGAAAGGAGATTACAAACATGGCAGCAATTTTTGCAGCAATCATGGTATATGAGAAGTTATAACAATGTAAAGTGTGGTTGAAAGTTGGTACACATGAAATTACAGTCTCATATATTACAACGGCAGAGATTTCTTTTGTGTCGTATACGAAGTATAAAATGTTTTCGTGGCAGTTATAATCTTATAACACAATAAATGACACAGCGATATTTTAGATAATCAGAATAATTATCACGCGATTATTATATATCCCCCCTTCCCCGCTTCCCCCGATAATAATTTCTTTAAAAATTCCAAAACTTTTTATTATAGAATTATTTTGCATTTTATTTTTATCATATTAAATTATGATTAATATAAATTCTTAAATTAATATAAATTATTTTTAAATTTATATTAATTTAAGAATTTATATTAAT